ATTGTTTCAAATGTATTTAAACCACATTGAATTTATGAATCTAAGCTAATGACTCGTAACATAGTTTTATTTATTTTTTTATAATTATAATTTGTGAGTTTTTGATTAAATGCCTGAAATAAGGTCTGTGGTTAACACAAGCTCAAGATAGGTATTCTAAGACATACAACGCGAACGTGGTGTAGTTCATTTATAGCCTAGCTTTTAATTCTGGCGATTCATTTACAGATTGACGATTTGGTTCAGGTGGTCTACTGGAATAGGTTTGCATAATTGCATAATTTAATGTTCAAAAACACATTATTTTTCATTTATACTACGGGGCTGTTGAATGCTTGAATCTGATTGGTTGACAAACGTTCTAAGGTGTCCATATCACTTTTCCAAATGATTTCAGTTGTTTCAAAGGTCCTCACAGCCAGAAAAATACCAATAAACAATAAAAAAAAATAATAATTTCCATGTTTTTGCCAAAAAATAGTTTTATTATGTTTTATTAATACTCTCTTTCTCCCTCTCTCTCTCTCATTTACAAATGCACACACATACAGACACTCGCACAAAAACGTGTTGTCAGTGCTGCTCTGACAATTTTATGAGTAAAATAGTTTAGCAACTTAAAAGCAAAAACATTTCTCACTAGTGAGGTAATAACAGAACTGTTCTTGAAGCAGATAAACTTACAGTTTCACTATTAGAGACCCTCAAACTTCACACATGCTTAATTTCTCTCTCTCATTTTCTAATTAATAGCTGCATTAATAACTGCAGTAGTCTGCTATTAATGGCTCAAGCCTTCGTTACTGTCACGCTGACACACACACGAGGAACGAGGAGATGCTGGAGAATACTTTTACCAAGACTTTATTTGCACCAAGGAACCAAGGGAGACGAACACAGGAAGACGTTCAACAGCGGACAGAGAACTAGGGACTGGGAACACTATTTATACACACAGGAGGAGGGGATCACGAGACACACCTGGGAGCAATGACACATCATGGGGAACACCTGGGACAAATGAACTAAACTAATCAGGGGAGGAACAGGAAACTAATCAAATAAGGGCATGGGAAGGCACATGGGGAGCAGGACACACACACAACACATGGAACAGAGTCTGACAGTTACTTGCTCTAAAATTATATTTTAGAACCCACATTTGGCCCCACTGGGGAACCACTCTGCTTAGTGTGGGCAGCCCACACTTTGGGGTGTACCACAAGGGCCCCACCTGGGCCCAGTACTGTGGGGCCCACACGTGCCCCGCATTTCATACACATAATTCTACCCACAGCAGAATAACTGATGGAATAATTGACTGTATCCCATTCTCAAGTGTTTACATTTTTCCTTTGCCGTTTAAAGGGGTGGTTCACTGGGCTTTTTCTAGGCTTGATTGTGTTTATGGGGTGCAGTCTAACATGTGTTGCTTAACATAGTTTTATTTATTTTTTTATAATTATAATTTGTGAGTTTTTGATTAAATGCCTGAAATAAGGTCTGTGGTTAACACAAGCTCAAGATAGGTATTCTAAGACATACAACGCGAACGTGGTGTAGTTCATTTATAGCCTAGCTTTTAATTCTGGCGATTCATTTACAGATTGACGATTTGGTTCAGGTGGTCTACTGGAATAGGTTTGCATAATTGCATAATTTAATGTTCAAAAACACATTATTTTTCATTTATACTACGGGGCTGTTGAATGCTTGAATCTGATTGGTTGACAAACGATAATTTACCTTTATTCCACACAGCTCTGTCCCTTCTCTGAGAAACGGGCTGATCTTTTCCTGTTTTTATGAAGCCCCGCCCCTCAGATATAGGCGATGGGCTCTGATTGGTTAGCTAGCCCAGTGTGTTATGATTGGCTAAACCGCCTCTATTGCGCGTCTAAACGTCCAGCCCCTCACCTCAGCCGCATGTGCTCCGGTTGTATTGTAAACAACGGCATCGTTAATATCGCTTATCATTTTAAGCCACAGATTTTACATTTAAACAGGGCATCTTGCTGTATTAATATATAATATGAATTTCTTAAATAACCTTCACTCTTCATTCCTTGTCTGGGTCTAAAGGGCGCTGTTGACACGGAGAGTTGCCACTTCAGAGCATACACTTTACATGTGGAGACAGCTTTCTAGGTCCCAACAACCTTAGTTGAGAGATCAGAATTTAGAAACCCACAGTTTCCTTATCTTGGAGCGGGGGTGCCATATTAAGCCCCGCACCTGTGACAGAAAGTCGCTCCTGGTCGGAATCTCCCTAGGAGAGCTTTCCAGGAGAGATATTGGGTCCAAGAACCACACTGTGGGGTGTGGGACTTTTGGATGCAATGTAAGCTTTTGATGCATTGAAAATATCACAATCAATCAAAACTATTGCCCTGAAAAAGATCAAAATATAATTTTTAACAGATGCTACTTCTGAATGCTTGAATCTGATTGGTTGACAAACGTTCTAAGGTGTCCATATCACTTTTCCAAATGATTTCAGTTGTTTCAAAGGTCCTCACAGCCAGAAAAATACCAATAAACAATAAAAAAAAATAATAATTTCCATGTTTTTGCCAAAAAATAGTTTTATTATGTTTTATTAATACTCTCTTTCTCCCTCTCTCTCTCTCATTTACAAATGCACACACATACAGACACTCGCACAAAAACGTGTTGTCAGTGCTGCTCTGACAATTTTATGAGTAAAATAGTTTAGCAACTTAAAAGCAAAAACATTTCTCACTAGTGAGGTAATAACAGAACTGTTCTTGAAGCAGATAAACTTACAGTTTCACTATTAGAGACCCTCAAACTTCACACATGCTTAATTTCTCTCTCTCATTTTCTAATTAATAGCTGCATTAATAACTGCAGTAGTCTGCTATTAATGGCTCAAGCCTTCGTTACTGTCACGCTGACACACACACGAGGAACGAGGAGATGCTGGAGAATACTTTTACCAAGACTTTATTTGCACCAAGGAACCAAGGGAGACGAACACAGGAAGACGTTCAACAGCGGACAGAGAACTAGGGACTGGGAACACTATTTATACACACAGGAGGAGGGGATCACGAGACACACCTGGGAGCAATGACACATCATGGGGAACACCTGGGACAAATGAACTAAACTAATCAGGGGAGGAACAGGAAACTAATCAAATAAGGGCATGGGAAGGCACATGGGGAGCAGGACACACACACAACACATGGAACAGAGTCTGACAGTTACTTGCTCTAAAATTATATTTTAGAACCCACATTTGGCCCCACTGGGGAACCACTCTGCTTAGTGTGGGCAGCCCACACTTTGGGGTGTACCACAAGGGCCCCACCTGGGCCCAGTACTGTGGGGCCCACACGTGCCCCGCATTTCATACACATAATTCTACCCACAGCAGAATAACTGATGGAATAATTGACTGTATCCCATTCTCAAGTGTTTACATTTTTCCTTTGCCGTTTAAAGGGGTGGTTCACTGGGCTTTTTCTAGGCTTGATTGTGTTTATGGGGTGCAGTCTAACATGTGTTAATGCTTCGTTTAAAAAAAAAACGCATTATTTTTCACATAATTTACCTTTATTCCACACAGCTCTGTCCCTTCTCTGAGAAACGGGCTGATCTTTTCCTGTTTTTATGAAGCCCCGCCCCTCAGATATAGGCGATGGGCTCTGATTGGTTAGCTAGCCCAGTGTGTTATGATTGGCTAAACCGCCTCTATTGCGCGTCTAAACGTCCAGCCCCTCACCTCAGCCGCATGTGCTCCGGTTGTATTGTAAACAACGGCATCGTTAATATCGCTTATCATTTTAAGCCACAGATTTTACATTTAAACAGGGCATCTTGCTGTATTAATATATAATATGAATTTCTTAAATAACCTTCACTCTTCATTCCTTGTCTGGGTCTAAAGGGCGCTGTTGACACGGAGAGTTGCCACTTCAGAGCATACACTTTACATGTGGAGACAGCTTTCTAGGTCCCAACAACCTTAGTTGAGAGATCAGAATTTAGAAACCCACAGTTTCCTTATCTTGGAGCGGGGGTGCCATATTAAGCCCCGCACCTGTGACAGAAAGTCGCTCCTGGTCGGAATCTCCCTAGGAGAGCTTTCCAGGAGAGATATTGGGTCCAAGAACCACACTGTGGGGTGTGGGACTTTTGGATGCAATGTAAGCTTTTGATGCATTGAAAATATCACAATCAATCAAAACTATTGCCCTGAAAAAGATCAAAATATAATTTTTAACAGATGCTACTTCTACTTCTGTAATGGCTGGCTAAGAATAAAAAGGTGAAATATAATTGTTTATTGTACCCCATAATGTATTTCCTCCAAAAATAATGTTGAGCATGCGTATTATACGGGAAGCTATTCATTCATCCATCCATTCATACATGGTCAATAAGTGAAATATGATCTTACATTCATGTTCTGTTACAGAAAACACAAAGTAAATGCAGCCGAACAGTAACCCACAGGCTTCACACACAAATTAAAAGTTAATTCGATGAATTGAGACGGTCGATAGAAAGTAGCATAAGGTAGTACAATAATCTGGCAACTGCATCAAATTGTAACAGCAGCCACATATTTAACATTTTGCAAAAAAAGTATAAATAGTCACTTTTCCCCCTGAGACCATGTAGGTATTTTGATTGGTTAAAATGTTAGCAGTTTTTAAAATTTGCATTAAAGCAGACTTTAATTTGATGCACCTTTTGTTCTGAACTGCAGATCAATTCTGAGCTGTGGCAAACAGGCAAAAATGTTTGTGAAAATGCATTTTTCATCTTACTTTTTTGGCAGAGCAGACTTGATGTCTGTTTGTTCTCATTGAGTGTGATTTCATCAACCAAAGGGAAACCTTTTTCACTCCACCACTGAAAACATTGGAAACAGTTTTGAAGCTTAATGAAATCTACCATGCTATTTCTGATCAATTATAGTTCAAATATTTTTGGGGTATTTGTATTTGCCTGAGTGTTAAAGAGTCTTAAAGACTCAAGATCATGTCACCCATTTGTTTGTTGTCATGTAAAATAAATCTCAACGCATCTCTCACCACCTTCTAAATTAACAATAGCAACAACAAAAACATACATTGTTACACAAAAAGTTGTTATTACAGTTTCATCCTGTCACATCTTATTTGTTTTATTAATAAATAATAAGATATTTTATCAACCTCACTGATCTCCATAGCTTCTTTTACAGACTTGAAACTGTGTTCACTGTGTTTCTCTCCTTCCTTGCAGATGAGGCAAACCAATCTCTGGTCATTCTCACAGAACAGTTTTAGTGGTTCTAAATGCTCAGAGCATAGCATTTCTTGAGCATTCCTTGGAGTCTGTTGTCTTGTCTTGAGTTGTTGCTGTTGTTGTAAGATGTCCACAACATTTCTCAGCACTCGGTTGGTTACCTTTAAGATCTTGTCTGGTGAAGTTTTGTCTGCATTCCGGGCATTTGTGAGCACCTTCATGTAATTCCAAATAACTTGTAATACACTGTCGGCAGAACACATGCTCACAAGGTAAACTTACTGGATCATTGATGTCACTCAAACACACTGGACACATGAGGTAGAGAGACAGTGTTGAAGCCATGTTCGATGAAAAGCAGAAAGCTTTACCTGTTGTAGTTAGACTATGCATAGACTTTCCTGATGGAACAATGAAGCTGTAATGTTTGTTCAGTCCTTTATTGAGTCAGATCACACCCTCTCACATTTGAGAACAGAATGTTTTACATCTATATTGAATTCAAAAACTCGAATAAAAAAATATTGTTTATAAAAACAGTACTGGCAACAATTTAAAATAAGGTTCAATTTATTAGTATTAGTTAATGCATTAGCTGTTATGAACTAAAAAGGTACAACAATTTTACAGCATTTATTAGGTTACTGTTAATATATAAATATAGACTAATATCATTGTTTATTTATATTTGCTTATAACATGTGACCCTGGACCACAAACCCAGTCATAAGAGTCAATTTTTCGAAATTGAGATTTATACATCACTGAATAAATAAGCTTTCTATTGATGTATGGTTTGTTAGGATAGGACAATATTTGGCTGAGATACAACTATTTGAAAATCTGGAATCTGAGGGTGCCAAAATTTTAAAATATTGAGAAAATCTCCTTTAAAGTTGTCCAAATGAAGTTCTTAGCAATGCATATTACTAATCAAAAATTACGTTTTGATATATTTACAGTAAGAAATTTACAAAATATCTTCATAGAAAATTATCTTTACTTAAAGGGGTCATATGATGCTTTTTTAAAGATCATTATTTGGACCCCTTTAATATTCTAATGATTTTTGGCATAAAAGAAAAATTTATAATTTTGACCCATACAATGTATTTTTGGCTATTGCAACAAATATACCCCAGCGACTTAAGACTGGTTTTGTGCTCCATGGTCACATATATTATACCATAACCAATATGACACACCAATGAATAATACTGTATTAAGTGTTAACAGTATTGATGCAGTAATTTTAGTTTTATGAAGTTTTCTGGACTTTTCTTATAGAAAAACCAGCTTAGCTGAGAACTTTGTGTTACAAATGTTGAAAATGGTTTATGGATTTTCACAACCATAATTTCTCCCTAAATACAGTACATTGGGTGATTTTTGCGGGGTGCAAAAAAGTATATTTATTCAGCTGTTATGTAAATATTACATGTCTTTGCTTAGTACAAGCATTGACTGAAAAGTATTTGTTCTAATACAATACAATCTGAGTCTGTATTCTATTTTGAAACATAGGTATATAGGTATAAGGTGTGATATTCCGGTTTGGTTACTTTTTAGTTATATAACCTGTGGGAGGAACCATACCTAGTTATGCAAACCAAATTTGAAACCGAAAGTGTTCGCTTATGAAACAAAGTGTAAGCAGAAGTTGAGAAGAAAGCTAAAATGCATTCAGCTATGTCTTTGCAGATAAAATGCTCAGTGTGCTTGAGTGATTTTACAGATCCAGTTACACTTTCTTGCGAACACTCGTTCTGCCGGGAATGTATCACAGGCCACTTGCAGGCCAGCCTGGGACCAAGCACCTGCCCAGAATGCCAAAGGCCTTATAATGAAGAAGACCTGAAATCCAGCCGTTTACTGAGGAACATGACCTCGTCTGTGAGAGAGCACCTTGCTGAGCTGAAATTGGATAAATCTACATCTAAAGAAGGAGCAGAAACCTTAAAGCTCTCAGAAATGGAAAGGATGTTGATGTGTTCGGAACACGATGAGAAACTTAAACTGTTCTGTGAGACTGATCAGAAGCTGGTTTGTGTCATCTGCAGGGATGGAGACAAACATAAAGGACACGTCTTTAAACCAGTGAAAGAAGCTGCACAGATCAACAAGGTAAAACACGACCATTTGCATATGAGTCACATCTGACTGCCTGATGAAAGCACTGCAGCTTAAAAGCTCCTTTCTTGCTTTCAAGTGTCTTTCAACCTACGCTATCTGTGTAAAATTATTCATGGCATAATTAGGTTTCTAAATTTGAATCCCAGGCTTATTTCATTTCAGATATGCAGAGAAGCTTTTATGTTCTCTGTCAGGGTTTTTCATATCTGTCTGACGTGTCTTTTTTTCTGTAGGGGGAGCTGAAGACTGCGTTGGGTTTTCTTGCCAAAGATAATGGACAGCTGGGTTACATGATCCAACAACAGACAACTGAGATCACCAAAACTGAGGTATCAAGGTGTATATAAATAAAATGAATGAATTATTTGCACAGAGACCAGAGGGTTCACATTTCATTTACTGCCATAAATTCTTAATGCATGGACTCATATTTTTGGCTTATCTATTAACTTAGAAATACATTAAAAACACAATTCATACATACAGTGGCTTGAAATATATTATATTATATTATTGTCAAATATTGTATTATATTATAAGATATAGTGTTTTTTTTCAAGAATTGCCCCCCAACCCAAATGCTATTTATCAATTAATTATTCATGACATTTGTTTAAAAAAAAAACTTTTTAGTTTTTTTTATTTATTTAATAAACCAAATATATTAGGTTACACACACAAAACAAAATATAAGGGATATATCAGGTAGAGATAGCTCCTTAAGGTAAGGATGGAAGCACAACAACACTAAAAAATGCTGGGTTAAACAACCCAAGCTGGGTTAAATATGGACAAACCCCAGTGATTGGAGTGGATTTTGTTTTTTGAGGTAGTTTTATTTATCTTTTTTGTTAAAATTATATTGTTTAAAAATCACTATATTTTTTGCTTAAAATGAACCCAAAATAGGCTGGAAATTGACATTTATAAATACGTTTAATAAATTAACATTTAACCCATTTTTTGGGTTCACTTCAAGCAAGAAATATAGTAATTTTAAACAATAGTTGAGTTAAATAAAACTGCCCGGCAGGTTGGTCAAACATTAAACCAAATTGCTGGGTCAATACAACCCAATTGCTGGGTTTTCCCATATTTAACCCAGCATTTTTTTAAAGAGTGAAATTAATCATTTATAGCCACGATCTAAGATAAATGTTTTTCTTTCTTTATTTAGGGTAAATCCAAATCTTTATCAGCCCAGATCTCTGCTCAGTTTGAAGAAATGCACCAGTTCTTAAGACAAAAAGAGGAAGAAGTGAAGAAAGAGTTGGAGAAGGAGGAGAAGAAAGTTACAGAATTCATGCAGAATAATCAGTCTGTGATAAACAGAAGGTTCATGGAGAACAAAGAGAAGGAGATTATTCTGCAATCAGCCCTGGAGATTGAGCAGCCTGATCACTTTCTACAGGTCACAACACATTTGATGACACACTTTTATTTTTAAAGGGCAAAGTTGTTTAAAAAAAAAAACAGTAATCACAATTTATTTATAAGAACACACATGGAAATATGATGATAATGTATTAAGAAGATCTATTATAATGTATTACCTATGAGTTTTCAATTACAGTTATGCTTTATCTTGTACATAATAAATGAAGCACATAATTAGTGTATTTGTCTGCAGTGGTGGACTGAAAAAGGCTGTCCAATGACAAAGAACATGAAGCAGAAAGCTGACATGACACCATCAAATATCAAGTAAATAAAAAGCAATGATATTACTGTTATTTAGGTCTAAATGATATCAGTGTGTGTTAACACTAGGGTAATGAAGTTTCTCTATGCTGACTTATCTATAACTTTCAGGTATACGTCAAGGGTTAAAGATCTTACTGTGCTTCCTGACTCTCTCTTTCTTGGCCCCCATGAAACTCACCTGCAGTTCTTTGTGTGGAAGGAGATGATGGGATCCATCAAACCAGGTGAAAAATATGACAGAAATGCATGTTGTAAAATTCAGCTAAAGTGAAACTAGATTTGCATTCCTGGAAAATGCTATAGCACTTGTAAAGAAAAGTGTTAAAGTTTAATGTGGGGTTAGATTTTAGACTTTGGTACTGTGCTTGTCATGATCCTCTGTATTTGTCTTGTTTTCTGTCAGCTATATGTGAGAACTAACACGTAACAAAAAAAATTGATGAGGGTAAATTACATGATGCTTATTTTTTGGCCAGATCTATTAAATGATTCAAAAACACAGTAAATAATAATAATAATAATTTAAAAAATCTAGTGTAAGAATAAAACTACTTAGAGTTCATGACTCAAAAAATTTCTAAGAACTTGGCACATAGGTTTTAAACTAGATTTTTAAAAGACATCTCCTTTTAATCATTTTGAACATCTTAACGCCCCATTCACACGGGGCGTCAGCGTTAACGCTTTGACGGAGGGCGTTTCTGGAGCGTGGTGCTGACGACCGTCATAGTGACAACAGCCAATCACATTAGTCTTCTGGTGTTGCATGAACGCGATTGGCTAGCGTCTGCGCTAGGGTATTTGCATAAGGCGATCTGATTGGCTGACGCCTGCGTTGGCGCTTGAAAAGTTGAAAAGTTTTCAACTTCGGTCCGCGACGGACACACAATTCATTTCGCCAACGCTTGATGTCACTCCATTCAAAGTAAACGAGAGGCGTTGACGCTGACGCCCCGTGTGTTGTGGGGCGTTATCCTTATCATTGACACATTTGGCAGCTTTTGTAAAGGCAGCTATAGATGGTTAAATAGATAGAATAAAGAAAAGATCAATCACAATTCACCATACAAAAACGTCGAACATCAGTACGCAAAATATGCTAATTATATCACAATAACATATTTTAGTCAGTTTTGCATATTGAACATCATAAAAATGTTTTTCATGTAAATCAACAGGAGATTTTCAAACTTTAACCTTAATTTCTTAAAAATATAAACCAAAATAGCACAGAAATAATAATAATAAAAAAACAAAGTTTGAATCTGTACATTTAGTGGTTTGGGTAATTAATTGCAGAAGTTATATTTGTATGGTTATGGATTTAAAACACTCCGTAACCATTATGTTCAGCACAGTGCTGTCTTGCCAAAACTTCTCATTCAACAAATAATTTGTCATCTAATAACGTTTCTGTCTGTGTCTGTGCTGTAGTTCCTGAGAGTTTGACCCTGAAAAAATCTGGAGAGTCATACTTAAAAGTGTCTCCAGGGGGCACCAGAATCCGACAAGCTGACAGAGTGACTGCTCTGTATAAAGACTTCAACCCTGGTACAGTTTCAGAGAAAAACTTCCAAGCTGGTCAGCACTACTGGGAAATAGAGGTCGGAGAAAAGCCAGACTGGACTGTGGGAATTAAGATGGGTGCAGAAAAACAGCTGAGTGCTACAAAGTCAGCCGAGAGTGAGATCCTGCTCCACCTTAAACACAGTAAAGGATACGTTCTGACCTGTGATGGAAAGGACACGACATTGAATACTCGAGACAAACCACAGAAAATAGGGCTCTATCTGGACTGTGAGAGAAAGCAGGTGTCGTTCTATAACGCTGATAACATGTCTCACTTGACCCAGATAAACTACAGCTCAAAGCAGCCTTGCTGTCTTACTCTGGTTCCAGGACTTTATCTGGATGGAATGAACAGTGATCCTCTCACTGTCTGCTCATATGAGTTTAACACTGGCAAACACTAACATGCTAGCTCAGTTACTAGCTGCTATTTTTTTGAGACATATGGGGATATCTAGGTCATCAAAGATCAGATTCTAACAGATGTTTTGAGCTTTACAGCTGTGTCTGCTGAATGACACACCATGATGATATAAACTACAACTTAATTTTGTTTTTTACATGTACATCTTCACATTCATTTTTAGATGGCTTACTTCAGCTTATCTAAAATTATCCATTAAGTTATCTAGCCAAGATATATGCGTGGTTTTCTTGTAAATGTTGTTTGATGAGCATACCTTATCTGTCTTTAATTTTATCCAGTGGCTTCTGGTGTATGAAAGCAGTAAATACCATATTTTCTCTTTAATTTTATGTCAATATTGGTAATTTATCCAATATCAGGGTTAAATACCTCCCACTGCTTTTTGGACTGTGAAATAAACTCAAACATGAAATAAACACCACATATTTGTATTTAGGGTTAAGAGGAAACATTACATAAGTAAGGAGTTGTTTCTGCATCGAAATGATCAGTAAACAAATAATGATAAAAATAAATAAATAAAAATACATCTGTAGATATGTCATATGGTAATTTAACTGGCCTATTAAAACATTTAAAATCCTTCTGTAAAATCCATCTGTTTAAATTAAATATTAGATGAACTGAAGTTAGAAAGATAAAATTACCATGTATTTATATTATGATTTCTGTTTAAATAATAAATTCATGTTTATTAAGGTAGCTGTCTTGCCTTGTTGATCAGTGTTCAGTAATCAGTGTTGTTGAATCCATTAGACCTGCAGAAGATGAACGTTCAGCTGCATCATACTGTTGAACATTAATATAATCATTTCATACTTGATAATTACATCATGACATACAGTTTGTGATCCATCATTAGTTTTGGTGTATTACCATCATGGCTGTTTCTAGGAATAAGTTGCTGCTTTAGGGGCCCCCAAGCCACCAGGGTGTTATTTATTTTTATTTTTTTACATTTCAGATAATAAAAGCTGCAAGTAAGCCTCGTCCAGCTGTTACGGCATAATTAGACAGTTAGGGACAAGGAGGAGAAGCACAGCCAGACATAAGTGTATAAATGTGAGCTGCATCCTGGTAAGATGGTGGTTATTTGTTGCCATGCATTCAATTTTTAAAATTAGCTAGTATTTTGCAGTTTTCCAAAGGCACATGTTTTCAGGCATTTTTGCTTTCTACATGCAGTAACTAAGGTGTAGACAAGACGTGTAACTACGAAGGCATCACTGATGAACCTCCAAAAAGAAATTCTGTTCAGCGATAATGGAGGTAAGTAGGACTTTGCTGAGGAACCCCTTATGCTCAGAAACGGCCCTGGTTACAATATAAACACATAAGAGTTATTTAGATCTCATTTATATGAGAGTGAAATACATGAGCTGCAGCCCATAAACCGTCAGTTTGTCATGAATGAATGACATTATTAATCATCATGTCATGTCTCTGGATCAGAGAGTCTTCTGAAACTGATTAAAGAAATGTAGCCCGGTCTCATGAAAATGCGTATAAACAGTACGCCAAATAAAAACAAAAACTCGTGGTATAGACCAATTTAGAGTAGACGTCACAGTTACGTCACTTGCAGCTGCGCGCGCATAGTGATTGCAGACAAACACTGGGAACAAGTGGAGATAAATGGGTAAAATCCATGGAATAAAAGAAAAAAAATATATATTTTTGTGCCTTTTGATGTCAAGATCGGAATGCAAATAATTTGTATAGAATACTGTCGTCAAAGACGCAATTTGAAGCTAAAAACGCGCGCATCCTGAATGTTTACAAACCTATAATTGGTCTATTGATATTCAAAAAATTACTTTGGCGTGCATTTGATACGCATGTGTTTGGCGTGCATATAATACGCAGTTTTCGCGTGCATATGATACGAAATTTGTTGGCGTGCAATATGATACGCAGTTTTCGCGTACATATGATACGAAATTTGTTGGCGTGCAATATGATACGCAGTTTTCGCGTACATATGATACGAAATTTGTTGGCGTGCAATATGATACGCAGTTTTCGCGTGCATATGATACGAAATTTGTTGGCGTGCAATATGATACGCAGTTTTCGCGTGCATATGATACGAAATTTGTTGGCGTGCAATATGATACGCAGTTTTCGCGTGCATATGATACGAAATTTGTTGGCGTGCAATATGATACGCAGTTTTCGCGTACATATGATACGCATCTACCCCACAACCCTAAACCTACCCATCGCGTAGCATATACACGCCAAAGTCCATTTTTGCGTATCAATACCACGAGTTTTCGTTTTTATTTGGCGTATTATTTATACGCACTTTCATGAGATGGGGTTGATACTTGACATATGTGGCTGAGGTCTTCAGTTCATTTCTCTGAGTAACCTGACATCTCCACTTTCTGTTGTGATCTTCATTCAGGAGTGTTGTCAGAGTGCTGATACATTGTCCTGCGGAGAATGATATCTGATATCTGGAGTCTGTCTGCAGATTCACACCAGCCTTCACCCAGATCAGCTGAATTCCCTCAGTACAGAACATAGTATCACAAGGGAATTCATTATATTAATTTAACAGACAGGAGAGAGTCACAGAGCTGCCTGGTCTGATCTCAGTCTGTGAGGATGATGAAGAGACTGAAACAGAAAATAAGAGAAATCACACAACATTTCATTATACATATGAGTTTTAAGGAAGCATTTGAACATTTTTAAATTGACGAAGCAATTGTAAAATTACCCTGAAGAACATGCAGATAAGCACGTGCATCAGTTTCTTGTTGTTGTACATTCACATATGGTCGGCAGCTGTAAGATCCATAATCTTCTTTTGTCACTTTCTTGATGTTCATAGAGCAGTCAGAGCCCAGACTCAGTCTCTGCATGTCATTCTTTGTTTTCCCTTTGGCAATCAGTTCAACTGTCTCTGAATGTCTGTTATAGAGCCATGTAGTTGAAGTGCAGTCAGAAAGCGCATTATTACAGGGCAGATGGACATTTTCATCAGAACTGCAGAACACACGAGTCTCATTCACTCCGCTGGTACCTGAAACACAAGTACAGTTGGGTAATCAATGTTATATAGAATGTTGTATATTGTATAGAATAATAATAATAATAAAAAACATACTGGCATACAAAGCAATATATGCAAAACTCAAATTTTTCCTTGTTTGAGGCAAACAGCACACTATCCAGAATAAACTAGTGTTCTTATCAGAAAAAAAACTTTTGCAGAGTTGTTCAAATCACTAACATTCTCTTAATATGAAAAGAAACAAGCATCATATTTCTGCATGTCACACTATGCCTAGTATTAATGCATTCAGGAATAATACAGTATGAAACACAAGTAACACTATGCAACTCAAGAGATCACAACATGAATCGCTGCAAGCATAAACAGAGCTAATGTTCCAGCAACCTCTTTCCCAGACTAATTCAGCTAAACTAATATTTATAATAGCATGTCTTGTAGAGAAAATATCGATTCTGTACCTGTGAGAAATGAACAGAGAATTATCAGTCCAAGCAGACACATATGACACTTATCAGCCATTTAATTATCCGCTTAAGTCAGTCTTCCTCAGTTCAACCCTAATAGAGAGCCGAGTCTTAACTTTTGTCAACTGTGAAATGTCCTTCAGGGTAGGAACTTACACATACTGGCTCAACACTCATGTGATCATCTCTGAACCCAGTGCTAGAGTTAGCACTGTTAGTTTCACTTTCTTCTTTTAGGAGTTTCCTGCATGCCATTAAATTCTGCTGATACAATCATTAAATTATTACTGGAATGTTGCCGTGTCACATGCTGTAAAGGTTCTGAATTTAAATTCACAATGAAAAACGTTTCCATTTTTAAAAGCATTAACAGCAATCAAGTGGCCATCAAACTTCTTAGAATACTTGACCAAGCAAGCAAAAAAAGAGTAATGTGTTGTTAGACATCAGATGGACTATCTGCACTGAGCTTAGTAACAGATTTCAGTTTTTTAAATAATATGGCTTGCTAGTTTCCAGTGATGTACATTTTCAATGTGCTTTAGTCGCCTAGTTACCCAAAAACCACTTAAAACGAGTGTCCACAAGATCAGTTTGTGACTTATCACACTCGTTAGTGTGCCTTGCAAAATCTTCCATGAAATGACAACAAGTGTTATATTTAGCCACAACACTGGATGACATTTTGTCTTTGTAGAACTTTAATTCAAATTGCGGCAAAAGTACAATTTTGTCTGTTTTCCTAGACTTGTTGACCAAACAAAAGCACATTTACACAGTAGCATACAATGACAATCACAAAACCATGAGTAAAATGAAAAAAAAACCAAACAAACAAAAGGTTCCTCATCAAAACTACATATATAAAAGAAAAGCAAAAGATTGACTAAGCAAAACATTAGGGTATTGAGATGGATGTATAAAAAAAAGAAACAGCTGTTTACAGAAAGGATTGCATAAACCATAATGATAGATGCCGTGGGCCTGTTTAGGGTTTAAGCCGGAACTCTGTGAAGCAGGGCAATTGAAAACAAGCATACATACACTTTTTTTACAACTTCAGTAAGTTCCTGAACAAATTCCTTTTTGTTCCGTGTCTGTTCAGTTCTCATCAGTAGCCCAGACCTTACCAGATAAATCCAACTTCCAGGAGCTCCAAATAAGAGTTTCACTGGCACGTCTACAATAGGAGGTACCTTTAGTGTGTGTGTGTGCACGTGTGTGTTACAGCAGTCGTCCTCTGCATTCTGTTGATCCACAGCAGCACAGAAGCTCCTTGCCCTCCACGCTGCCAACTTCATAATTATAATCCCACGTCAGCTCCGTCCCTGCTCGGATTCGCCTATAGAAACACAGGTTAATACAAAGACCACAGTTACATTTACATGCATCATAATAATCTGTAAATATTCTGACTAACAAATAATAATGTAAAACATTTTGAGATTTGCTAAAGATTTCATTTAACAGTGTTATTAAATTTTGAAAATTTGACAGTAACACACCAATATTAAATGTAAAAAGAAAATAAAAATATTAATACCAGCCAATAACTGGTAGGTAAAATTATTACATTCAAGTGCTTAAAAAAAAAAAAAAAAAAAAAAAAAAGGCATAACAATGGCTGGTGTTATGCTCACTTGCTAGCAAAGAAGGCCACCCATGGGAAGCGGAGATCATGAGTATCCACAAACACATTCTGGACGAACAGATTGGGGCTGCAGCTATGCTGTGGGACAAAGACAGCGGAGGAGGAGAGGATATAAACACAGTAGTTGTGAACTATCATTGAATTAAAAATCAAGTAAAGAATCATACCCTGAGATCTTAGACTTATGTCAATGTCTGTTGTACTCACATTGAGGTAGCGTCCAAGGTTGCCCTCTAGTTTGGCATCAATGATATAACAGGATTCTTCCCCATCAAAGAACTGGCGGGTGTTTTTAGGGCCACTGTCGCCCCCGCCACCTCCCTGTCCATGAGATGGGCCTGAGCCACCTCCTCCTGCCCCCCCTCCTCCTGTTTTCACCATCAGACTGTGGGACTTCAAAGCAAAGCCACGTGTGGACTTCACCGCCACCTGCCTCTTCACCACAGCTGAGATCGAGAGAAGAGAGAGAGAAAGAAATTATGTTCTGATGGCTTGTTACAGGGACTTGTTGAATGCAAGATTATTCAACCTTCTAATTGTCAATTTGGTTTTCATAGCCTGTTATTATGACAACACCTCCAGGAGGAGCATCTCATTCATAATAAAGAAGGAGGGATATAAAGGGTTTCGGGTCGTCTGCCTCTAGTACAAGTAGACTCAGTCAGCTGACTGAAGTGTAGCAACAGTTACACTGATGTAAGGAAGTCCACCGATGTAACATTGGAAAACATGCAATTTCCCTTTTCCTCCACCTTACCTTGAGTCTTTTTCTCCCTCTCCTTGTTGTCATCTGATCCTGAGCTGATAGTCTGCACATCATCACTGTCAGAGAGGGTCATTACATCCTAAACAAAAGACAGAAGGAAAGATTATAATAGGAGTGCAAGATGAGAGGAAAAAATAGAGAGAGATACCAGAGAGTGTATCAGATAGAGTGAGACAAAGAAAGAGGAACAAAGAGACTGGAAAGAGAGACATTTCATGTGAAAGCTAAAATAGGAAACATTGTGTGAAAACTAGACTGACCTTCTTCTCCGTCTTTATCCCTCCCTCCACCTTGACGCTCTGATTTGCAGAAGTGGAAGACTGGCTGGTGAGCCAAGATGCCACTTTACTCTTCCCGGTCTCCTCTGGCATTGGAGGTGGCTTCCTCTCTTCACCTGTGGATGCACTCAGTCCATCCTTACTGTCCTGACTCTCTACAGCCAAGACAGAGAATGATGAGAAAGTCAATGATTTACTTCAGTGTACAGAGTATCTTGTTTTACAGCTCATTAATTTAAATGATACAATCTATATACAAAATAAGTAAATATAACAAGAACATGTCCAAATACAGTTCACCACAAAATAAAATGCAGAAAATTAACAATATTATATTATTTAAAATATGAAATAATAATAATAACAACAATAAATAATAAATAATATTAGTAGTAATTGTTCACGACATTTCACCACAAAAAAAATCTATATTATATAATATATGAAATATAATAATAATAATTATCATTATTAACACTTCAAGACATTTACCACAAAGATAAAATCAAATAAATAAAAATTATACACTGTATGAGACTAGACTTGTGCCGGTATTCGGTAATGCGATATATCACGGTAATGAATATGCACGATATTGTTATAGTGGGCACTTCTAAATACCGTGAATAATTATATATTACAAATTATTCCGAATTTTGAATGCATTTTAAGAATACTTTTCCCATCAACTGGTCAAAAGGCACAACACCGCTGTATGCTGCGTGAAAGACGCCTGCGCACTCTGACGCCTGTTTCACACATACTCCGTCTGCAGTGCGTATGCGGTAAAAAACGCAACGCACACGCACTGCAGACGGAGTATGTGTGAAACAGGCGTGAGGTAAACAAGCGCAAACATGAAGCACATGGCGGAACATGTGAGAGACGCTCTGGATGAAAGCGCACTTTCACTCTCTGACAGCAGATGGCGCTAAACTGCAGAAATAATAATAATAATAATTCATTTAAATGCAGCCGTTACCCTGAAAACAAAGCAGCTGCACTACTTTCTGTTTCGGAATCATGTTTAAATGATTTAAATAGCCATTCAGATTTGTGTATTTGCTATGATGTTCATCACAGCGCCAAATACTTAAATATTTAGACTTAATAGGCTATTTATTTTCAAACTTTTTTACATTTTAATCTGGACTACAACATGCCCTAGATATTGTTTGAAAGTGTTTTGATTCTTTATTGTTCAAAAAACAATAAACTTGTTTAATCACACTTTACATTAGGGCTTCATTAGTTAACATTAGTTAACATAAACTGCCAATGAAAAATTCTTCTGAACATTCATTAATCTTAGGTAATTACAATATTTAATAACACGTTGTTAAAATCGAAAGTTGCAACTGTGTTATTTAATGAGCTAACATGAACTAAGACTTGTATTTTTTAAACAAAGATTAATAACTTCTGTAGCAAATGTAGCTATTGCTCATTGTGAATGTTAATGCATTAACTAAGGTTAACTAATGAGGTCTTATTGTAAAGTGATACCTATTGGTCTTTATAGTTCTTTTGCACTTTAATCTGTGTAAAACTTTTAACTTTATACATTTTTCTGTATTGCTTTATTGCATTTAAATGTTCAGTTATTTTTGTTATAAGAAAAAAGTTATTAAACCTGTTATACTGTATTATGACAGCACTTTTTTTAAACTTAATTTCAATATCGTGATAATACCGTATACCGTAATAAAAGCATTAGCAATTAATCGCAACATGAAAATTTGATACCGGCATATCCTTATATGAGACATTATTATTATTATTACTAATTAGTAACTGTTATGAAAATCCTACGCTGACCTTGTTCTTGACAGGTTTTGTGACAATTTAAAAGACTTCTAGACACAACTGAATTTCTACTCAATCCTGCCCTCTAGTGGCCTGTCCTCTGTCTCAGTGTTTAATATGTCTTCTCCTCACTCATGTTTCCTCACCTTCCTTAATTCCCTTGGCTTGTCTGCGGGTGGTGTAGCTCCTCCACACTGAGCTGGTGGAGTAATATGTGTCTTTCACAAATGTGTCATCTGAGCTGTCACTCTCATCCTCATTAGACTCTTCGTCTTTGTCATCACTGTCTTCAGATGAATCGTCTTGACCTAGTAAGTGGGTAAAAAAATATTATATAGATGTCATAAAGATTATAACCTTCAACTACTGAATATACATCACAGCAAAATGAACTTGTGCTCAAAATCAAAGACTACAAAACACTACACTAAAATAAATGGCATGTGGTTAGATTTATTTTTACTGGCTGATCATTCATATTTTTAAAGAAAGCTAAACAAGCTTTTAATGCAAAGAATTAAGGTTTTAAAAAGTTAATGGATCATGTTCATAGTTAATGTGATGAACTACACCTGCTAGGAGACCTGTGAGAACATAAGAAGAATGGACCTAGAGACACTAAATCACCTAGAGAGCAGTTAGTTAAAAGTGATTGTTGCAAAAGTTTCTCAAAAAAAGTTACACCTCCACCATAGGAGGATTCGTGATTTTGACACCAGATTACTCTACTGAGTCTAACTTAGTTCTATTGAGATAAAAAACTGGTGTTGTTAATAATTTGATATCACCATAGCCACTCATTTTTTATAACAAGCAGAATAGTCAGATGTGTGCATAGGTCTCTCACTTTTGCCGGTAGTGCTGCTGTTACGCTCCTCCATCTTGGTGGTGGATTTACCGTGTTGGGAGGAAGCAGGTAGTTTAACCCTGCTCATGTCCACCCCGCTGCCCTCGCTGTCGGAGCAGTGGGCCTCACTCTCGTAACCTTCCTTAAAGTTCTCCACGCTCTCAATGTGGTCTAGATTGGCAAAGTATTCATCACCCATTTCCAAACCTTCTTTATCGGCAAAGTCATCTGTCAGGATTTTACCTGATAGAGAAAGAAACAATCATTACTATAAAACACTAAAGGCCCAGTGCTGGACATCTGCAGACCCTCCTAATGATGAAAATTATGTCATACGGACAGTGTGTGGACTGCAGACAGTCAAAGCATACGTTAGGCTTAAGAGAGAGAAGCTTAGGTAAGAATAAACACTGGATTGATTCTATTTTGAATAAACTAAAGTCCAAATTATGTTTCGAGTTGGTTACCTGCATATATACAAACAAATGAGCCCTTGGCGACGTCATCAAGGCAACGAATGCCCCAGCCTTTATTTTGGGTCTTAAAGAGTTGCAGTCGGACCTGCAAACCGTGCTGAACCAGACGGTTAGTGCACATCTGCGGATTACAGCGGCAGCGCTTATTACATTCATACATCCTGAAAATGCAAAGGAGAAGGGAAAAAGAGAGACAGGACAATTAAAAGGAGAGACATTAAGTTGAATGGTCTCACTGTAAATCAACATGATAATGACAGTATGGAGGGTTGGTTATATATCACAGACCCTGTAGGGAGACACTCTTCCAGTCTCTTGTTATGGTATCCAGCATTGGGGTTGATCTGCCCACCTGGCGCACACCCTGTAGCCTGCAGAGTCAGCTGATGACACGAACACTTGGATCTATAAACAAATAAAAGGTACAGAACAAAGGACATTAGGTCTTAGGAATGTCTGATGAAAATTATCTAATGTTATTGACCTTTATGCACTAATGCACATGATTGACTGCAAGGGTCCTTTCTATATAATTTCCAGTTTTATGATTTTTTTCTGCATTAGACAATCACTGACAGAATTATTTTTTTTTAATTAAAGTAATTTTACTGGAATATCCAGTTATAGCATTTTGACTAGGGCTGCACGATAAATCGCATGCGATATTTAATGCGCATCTTGTCAGTAAAGCCGCTTTATCGCATGCGATTTATTGTGCAGCCCTAATTTTGACTAAAAATTACAAGGTCAATAAAAAAAAATTATTAAAATATATTGCAAAAAAATATTTTAAAAGATATATGCCAAACTACTTAAGATTTTCTTTTCTTTATTTTAAACAGGCTTTTTCTCACCCTGACATTTTTGACTTCTTTTTTTATGAAAGCCAATCAATGATACTAACTTGTCTCTGCAGCCATCAGTGCAGTCACAGCCCACCAGGAAGTCTGAGCTGGTGTTAATAAAGACTCCATCTGCTGGGATCCTCTCTTTACTGTAGGCCACACTGGGCGGAGGAGTGTTGTCGATCTCATTCACACAGGACAAGGGAATGTCTTCGCGACCGCCTGTGATGTCCCGGATGAAGTAGAATGGCCTCTGGGGTTGGAATCGACGATCCACCAGCACATAGGGGTCCAGACAGAACATCTCCAAGAAGATGAAGTCACAGTGTGTCTGGAAGAGGTAGTGCTGGATTTCTGCCATATTTCTCAGACTCAAGCCACACGGGGACTTGTAGATGACATGGAATGACATCTGAGTGGGAGAGGAAGAGGGTTAATATAAATTAGTATGTTTACTAGTATATCAACCATCAAGCTCTTTGGAGATATGGATCAATTACTTAACACTTTTTTGGTTGATCACTTGTTTCTAAAGGTACGGTCACATTAGCAAACTCAGGCAAAATTTTGCAGGAAAGTCCATTCTCAATACTAGAGCAATGCATGAAGGACAACTCGCACATAAGTCACTTTCAAACCAAACATGACCAACTTGAACCTGATGCACAATTTCCCCATGTAGGATTTTTTGCTCTCACATGAAACTTCCAATTGAGCAAATTCCTATTGACTGGATTCTGAACTCAAAATTTTGCCAAACAGCGGTAATGGGACTGTACATTAAGCCACACAAACCTTGCGGTTAAGGCGTCTGCGGCCAGTCATGCGGCGAAACTCGTAGAGCAATGGAGTAAGAAGTGGGTTGCGTCCTCGATGCAGGTTGGGATGGGTGGGCCGGATGCGCTTTAGACAGTCAGGTGTGCAGTTGTGTGTAAGGTAGAAGAGTCTGTCATTCGGAGCCTGGTACGATGGCTCCTGAGGAATACGCTCACTTGTGTAGGTTGACACAGTTGTCTGCAAATTATGCGGAGCTTGTATGATTGGCGTCAACGTATGCACAGGTCCAGACTGCAGAAGAAAGAGCCTGCAAGTAAGAGAACAAGACGTTGGTACACTGTGTTTCCCAAATATGTTTATTACACTTAATGATACTACAAAAAAAAAAAGAAAAAAAAAAAACTTTTTGACTTTCATTTTGGTTGACTGATGGTTGAGCAGACAGTCTTCACTGCTGGATAACACAATGTGAACACATGTATTTCTGAAGAGTATAATTTGAATCGAGTCATTAAAAAACATTTTGGTCCACTTGATCGGACCACCCGAGACACTAATACCAAGCATAAATGCTGACAGAGAAGCAAAGAACAGAAAATGTGACATGTACAGTGTTTAGCAGATATACAGATCACAGTAGTGACTAGTACCCAGCAAGGTTATTATAGTTTTGAATTTTTTAATTCGTTTTATTTTAATATCGTTTTCAAATTTGCTATAAAATTCAGTTTAGTTTGTATTCGTTTCATTCATATTTGTTAGTTTTAGTTTAGTTTTTATTTTGTGAACGAATTTTTATTTAGTTTTTATATAGTTTAGTTTCAGTTTTAATTAAAGTTTAGCAGAATTAACAGATCACTTCCAGAGCGCAGGCCAAAGAAAGACGTAGGCATAATTTAACCTTAGTGAGGCAAACATATAGCGACACAAAGGCGGTCTCAAACGGTTCTAGTCTGGTACAGAATTAAATTAGTGCTGCTTTCAGATAATGGGTCGGGTGTTCTGTTAAGTACTGCTGGTGCACGTTTACCAAACAGGACCCGTGCAGGCTTTAAACTGCTTTGCGTCTCTCCGTCAGATAACCCCATGTGCGTGATGCGCCATTACAGGTAGGCTATTTCCCTAAACCTCCACACAGCTCGTATATTTTTCCGCCAAGGGGTGAGAACGTAATGATTACGAAAACGATTATTTATTTTTCATAATTATTTTATTTCAGTTAGTTTTTCAATAACTGTTGTTACTTTAGTTTCGTTTTAGTTATTTCAGTTATTTTGACGTTTTTATTTCATTTCAGTTTACGAAATAGTTTTTTCATCGATCGTTTTAGTCTTAGTTTTAGTTTTCGTTTAATAACCTTGGTGCCCAGTGCCTGGTTGTGACACTAACCTGGAGGTATTAGTGTGGTGAACAGTGCCGATTAGTGCTTTGGGCTGGAGGTCAGAGGCCATGACCTGACGAGGCTGCAGTGCAACGGAACCAGTGCTCTTTTTAGCCATTTGACTCTTTAAACTAGGACTCCTGAAATTGAATAGAAATAGACAACCATGGTTTAACGCTTGACCTGGATTAAACTGGAATATTTAAGAACAGTAGCTCTTGAAGCATTCACTCTGTGCGGGAAGGCTGTGGGGGTCCAGCAGCCATTGGCCGAGGTGGTGGGATCTGTGGGGCTGCAGGTCGACTGGAAGCAGAAGTACTGTTTTCACTAGTGTACTGGACTACAGGGCCCTTTGTCCTCAATGCTCCTAAAAACACACACAGTTTTAGTAAGATGAGAATTGGAAAATGAATGCAGAGAAGGGACAGACCAGTGATTACCAAAAAACACAGGTTGTAGTGAGAAATGTTTACACGTACATTTTCACATAAAAAGAATGCATAAAATACAAAGCAATCAACAAGACAAACACAAAGCAATCTGTTACCCATATTGGGACGCTGTCTTTGTTGACCAGCCATTTTCTTCTCTTGACTGCTAGCTGTGTTCATTTTCAGATTAAACATGGGTTCTAGTCTTGTTGAGCCACGATAAATCCACTCACTCCGCTTATCATCCTGCAACATACAATAAACAATACTGTTCACGTTCTAGTGTCATTTAACATACAGAAAACTCTGCATATGAACATGACTGTTAAGGGATAATCAAAGAAATCTAGCAACAAATTAATAATAATAAAAAAAAAATCATTAACTATAACACTTCTTGCTATATGTGATGCCGAGCTGACCAGGAAAAGCATTTTGACAAGGCTGCCATCCACTTCTTCCACACGGCTTTTCCACCATGTTCCCTCCCATTCCGTCTTTATGATTTGCCCTGGCTTCAGCAGCACCATGGGTCTGTTGGGATATGACGTGATGTACTCCTCAATGAAATCTCTGCATGATGCATCCTCAATATCCTCCCAGGTCTTTTTTACTGAATACGAATTGAGAGAGAGACAAAAATAGAGATCCATTAAAACTTCTTATTTAATGTAATTACTATTATTTTATTTATTTATTATTATTTTATTAATTCATATAATTAAAATAAGTTGTTTATTATTTATTGTATTATTTATTACTTATTCGATTTGTTAAATTTGAAAGATGATTCAATGAAAAATCAAATAACTTAAAAATATCAGCAGTTTAATATTATATTATCAGAGAGAAGGCAAAAACAGAAATAGCTGGGAACTAAAAAAAAGAATTAAAAAAAGAATAAGAAAAAAAAAGTTTCTTACATGGTCTGCAGATCGGGTACAGCTCAGGCAGGCCTACATATGAGGCATAACCATCATCGAAAAAGATCAGGAACCTGCAACAACATTCAATCAGTAAGCAATGCCTTCTATCCTTCAATACTCTCCTTAAGGTCTTCTGTTCATCTTACCTCATACGGTTCTTGCTGTTGGGCATCTCAGCGACTACGCCTGCATAGAGCCAGACTTGATTGCCATCCTTGTACCTGGCGACGACACGGGCACCAACAAACAGCCTCTCCAGTGTTGGGTGGTAATCAAATGCCACGTGGTTCCCAGAGAGAAGACTCTTCCCTTTATTCTCAAACTTCACCTTGTACTTAAAATTGTTCCCTGTGAAAATTTGATATCAAAATAATAAATCAAGCTTTTTGATTAAAATTAGCCTTCACATACACACACATAGCAGGATGAAATGTACAGTACAATCTCAGAGAAGGATTAATTTAATACAGGGAATAAACTGCATGCACTTACCCACTTGTTTGATGGCAACAAGTGTTCCACGATGCCACGTCTTGGTTCGTTTTTTACCCAACAGTGTCATGTTGATCTTGATATTATCCTGTTTTAAATTAGGGTTTGGTTGAGTGGGTGCGTTCCTTGGGCCTGAGGACATAAACACTGCTGGAACAGCTAGAGCACCATGGGATTGTGTGGGAGGGGCCACAGCTTTAGCTGGTGTTAAACTCGAGGGGGCTGTTCTATTGACAGACTGGGCCAGGTTCTGCACCTGCTGAGATGTTCGTTGAAGAGCAGCTGAAGCCTCCTTAAACTTTAAATAAAATACAGACACAACACACAAAAGGAAACATCAACTAAATCACCTGACAAACAGCTTTATGAAAAGCTAATAGTATAGCATTAGTGTGCGGTTATATTTATGACATTTTGGTGTATTTTCAAAGGTAAAAATGTCCATCGTCTTTTGTTAATTTCATTGTCTTAGTCAATTTCAAACCAAATCTGAACTCGATGCAAAATCTGTGGGGAAATCTTTCACCCTCACAAGAAATTCCAGATCGCGTGTATTTCTAATGAAATGACTGGATTTCGCCCGCAAATATTCACCAAGTTTACATGTGACCGCACATTTAATTTTGCTAAGTGATACAAATGACACATTTCTCTTACCGCTGGGTCCTTGCTGGGAGTTACAACCTTCTTGGGAGGAACCACTGTGGAAGAAATCATGCTGTTACTGTACATATTTTACATCTAAAAAAACTAAATAAATAAATAAAATGTAGCATCTATCTTACCACATCCCACAGCAATAACATCGTCGTCATCATCATCGTCAATCTCAATGACCTCAGAAGTGTTTGCCTTGCCTCCTCCCTCATCCTCTGAGCTGCTCTCATGATACACCAGACCCATCTTACTGTACACTTCCTTCACCAGAGATTCACACTGAACCACAGACCTTTGAAAACAGACAGATCCATGTACTTTCTCCTCTAGAATAGGGCTGCACGATAAATCGCATGCGATATTTAACGCGCATCTTGTCAGAAAAGCCGGTTCTGTAATCAGCGGTAAATCTCCATCACCTGCGTGCTTTCACATTGAGCAGCATTAACTACACAGAGCCGTTGTTCACAGACGAGCTGCGCAAAACATGCGATTTATCGTGCAGCCCTACTCTAGAATTAAGAAATACTAAATTTTTAACCCTATAAAATGGTGGCTTTTGGATTAACAATCACGTTGTCATAACCTGAAGTCAGTCACTTGTTTTCAGTCTTTGCATACTTTGTAATTTTGTTTGTGTTTTTTGTGCCAATATGCTTCTGTTTATATTTACTGGGATGTGCTTTTACATGATTCTTTATTGCTTTATGTACCATATGGTCATTGTTCTATTAACTGTCTACTAAAGGTTTCTGGGAAGAATTTGTATATTGCAGCAAGGGTTGGATATTTCTCAAGAAACAGTTTGGGTGTTTGACTGAACTCTCATTGGTTTCAGATTTTCACTTCACTTTTAGCTGCGTTGATTTCAATGCATAAAGTCTCGCATTTTAAACTTACTCTGAGGCATTAGAGCAAAGAGCATCTGTATCAGCAACCTCCTTCTCCCTCTGCTCAACCCATTCCTGCAGCTGCTCCAGCTGATCTTTCCTCTGCCTCACGGCCTCGCTGCTGTCCACCTGCTCCTCGATCCAACTGCGCAGCTCGTCCAAAGACACCCCTAACTCCTCCTCCAACTCTGGATCCAACTCCATCTCCATTCCTGAGGTCAAACTGGCATCCACCTCCATAACTTTGAAAGAAAGAGAAAACAGTGTTACCATGTCACAGCAGGAATCATAAAGCAACATTTAAAAAGTGTATTCTGTAGGTCAACTGGTAGCTACATTTCCCATCAACTGTGGATCAGTCTCTCATATTGGCCTGGAGGAATTTGTTGGCGTGTTTCCTTGCACAAACTGCTCTATGCAGGACCTTCCAACAACATTTCGATGATAAAGTCCTGTAACAGTCAAATTTAACTTGGCCATTCCAAAAAATTACTTTTTTTGCCGCAGGATCCACTTTCAGTTTAGAGTTAAAGGGTAAGTTTTTAACCAGTTCTGTATTGTTAAATATCTTTTATTAAACCTCATTTTGCCAGCAGACAATTACCCCTTTAAGGGGGTTAGCAATCACATATATTACTCTACAGCAATTTTCAGTCCTGCATTTAGCATTTTGGTCAATAGGTGAAAAAAAGAAGATGCATGTATTATTTGTTATAAGACTTAAATGAAGGCTGCACTGTGCCTGCTCAAAATTCATTGTAAGATCGCAATGCCACATAAAAGCAAAACTGTATCATGTCTGCTGACACAAAGTATATGATTGTAATTTGTGTAAATCCATTTATGCCATCTCTGAGCAACATTAAAGATTCTGTGTAAAAACCTAAATGCCACTTCAGAAGCTCTTCTGACTGAGCCACCTTTGCAGTGCAAATTTGGCACCAGTCTCATATTTTCCCTATGATTGCAAATGAAATATAGAACTCTAGCAACATCAGATATACTGTTGCAAATATACATCACATGGGTAAAGTAACGTTAACCTTTTTGTAAACAGTTAAATGACTCCGTTTGGGATGTCAACACAACCTGTCTGGTCATGTAGATAGACATAATGGCTGTAAATGGCATTTTAACTGCCATTCATTTGATAAATAGAAAAGCTGTGTTCATAACACCTGAAAATGGTCCGCATGTGTAAAAACATTCCAACAACCACAATTCCTGCAAGTCAGGAGCCCTAAACGGCGCGCAATACACGGATGAAAGCTTCATTGTGATCATCGTGTCCATTTCTGCTCAAAAATATAAATGCACACGTCGCACTATAGTTGTCTTAAAAGGCCAATATATGAACATATAAAAAAGATCTGTAAAATACAGAATCGAGTGAGCTTTATTGAATTGTGTTGATGCTAACTGGGTTAGCTTACCTCCCCTAATGTGTGTGTCCCTCCAGCTCTTTTGTGGATTTCTCCTTTTCGCCGTGCATTAAATGAACAGAAAACCAACAATAGTATGTTTACAGCTTTTTCCTATTCCAGAGGCATTTTAGTATAATTGTTTTTATTTGAACATAAATTTTCCAGTCCTCGAACACCTCGCACACCAAAACCGCAATGAATGTGTTTGGCTGATGACGATGCTACGAGCTGACCAATTGGCTTTTGCGTGACGAGTGAGTGGCACTTGAAGTGAACAATTGGGTGCAAGCAAAAGACCTGATCACGCCCCCACGAGGCCAGCAGGACTACACTGCACCGCACAACGTGAATCAAACACAATTTAGCTCCATAAAAACGATCAATACAACTAAAATATCTATGAAAAATAATTTATTGAAATACTGGCCATACCGCAGCATTAACTGACAGCTCAGTATTAATAAATAGGAAACTTTTTTTTCATTGTTGACTTTTTCTGTTGAATCCTTTTGTTATATGAAGGTCACAATAAAACTATCCTGCATTTTTTCATTTATGTTAACGGTGCATTCATTATTTTCCCCCACATTAAAATATTTTACACATAAAGAAATGTGTTGAAAAATGTGCGGTTTTACAGATTTCACATGAGAGGAATATAAACTCAATTTTACTGGCCTAACAAAATTGTTCTTGTGACGTTTAAATAGAGTGGTTTACTTAGTTAAAATGTAACATTCCTGAAAAGAAAATGAGTTCAGTGAAAACAAAGGTACTACGCGTGGAAGGAGAGGGAGTTAGGAAAAAATATTGGTACATAATCACATAAATACAATGTAGTAATGCTTGAAATGTAACGCAAGACACTTCTATTCATTTATGCGAATCGGTTCTTTCGAACAGTTCGTTTCAGTGAACTCGGTTCTTTTACGTCGTCAGGTAATTGCGTCCCAAATGACGTACTATACACTATGTACTTGTGCACTATACATATGCACTATGTACTCAAACATGTAGTGTATGAATTATATAAGGTTATTTTGTCATTCATAATCTGTCTGATAGCCCCTCCCCCTTGGCTACGTAATTAAAGCTGCGACAGTTGAGTGCATGAAGTGTCCAACATAGGAATTTATTAAAAGAATAAAGCTCAATTTCTTCAAAAACATATTGGAATTAAAAATTTCAGTGCATTGAGTGGAAATTTTTCTTACGATTTTGTACTGATATAGATACCAAATGTGATATTTGTGGATTGGAGACAGAGAATGTTGTCCATTACTACTATTCCTGAGGTAAAACGCGCCTTCCTCATTACACTACGGACATTTAAAGGGGTCATATGATGCGATTTCAAGTTTTCCTTTCTCTTTGGAGTGTTACAAGCTGATTGTGCATAGATAAGATCCCTGAAGTTGCAAAGACTAAAGTCTCAAAACCAAAGAGATATTCTTTATCAAAGTTAAGACTCTGCCAGGCTTGTTCTAACACGCCCCCACATATCTACCTCACTATGTGGATATATTTGCATAATGCGGCCCAAATGTGCACGCAAAGAAAGAAGGCATGGTTTCAGTAACGGCAGTTACTGTTGAAGCAGCATGTAAGGCAGACGCTGTGTGTTTCTAGGCGAAAGCAAAAGCACTTTATTTGGCCTTCCGAAAGTAGATGCATTTAGGAATCTTTAAGATTACTTACAACAGAACAGCAATGCATTTTATGGACGACCATTTCGTGAACCTAGGAGAGAAGGTAATTCTGACTTTGCTATGACAATCTGGCGCTTCTGAATCAGCTACTGTAAGTATGCCGCGTGAACCGGAAGTTGCTGCCGACTTAGTGTAGTGACGTATTTCCAGCTGAAACGGAATATTGAATAGAGGGCATGGTTTTATGTTTGCGCTCCTCCTCTCTGTCTCTCACTCATGGCAATCTAACGGTTAGAGGGGTGTGTTTAAGGATATTCTGCCCAAGCCGTCGAACTGACGTCATCAGAAAAGGAATGAGCGGAAGTAAATGTTCAGATTTTGATTAAAGATTACGAAGACAAACAATTTTTTTCAGTGGATTAACTTGCACGGATTAATTGTTCACATCATTACTAGCAATGTGCACTAGTAAAGTAAATAAAGTCAATTTTGATTTCATGCAGACTTTAAATGTAGAAATAAACAAATGTAGAAATAAATAAACGTGGAAATAAATAAATATAGAACTAAATAAATAAATACATAAATGTGGACATAAATAAAAGTGGAAATGAATGTATTTGAAATAAAAGAAAAAAATAAATAAATGTGGAAAAAATAAATAAATAAGGAAATAAAAGTATAAATCATTATTTATTTAACTTTTTTTTTTTTTTACTTTTCTTTGATTTATTTATTTCCAATTTTGACAGGTTTGGCATTCCATAATTACATACATGTTAATCTTTAATATGGGGTTTTAAAACATTGTATTACTGTTACGCATACATTACAACCATTTGAAAAACACTATCTAATGCTGTTATGGCAAGGAAAAGACTCTTTTAAAGACTCTGCAATTATGTATATACATTAATATAAATTTGTAGTCCAAGTTGAGAAGTTAACCCTTCGTGAAGTGGTTCGACCAATTCATTCATTCAAAAGATCCGACTCGATGGAACGATTTTTTTTGACGTTGATTTAGCACAGTAGAACCATTCTGTACATAGCTGAACAACGTGGACTTGCTCCGTCCAAAACACACACACACACGTCACAAATTTGCTGCATGAAACTGTATAAATCAGCTTTGACTTCCTCTTCCGGAGTGAATGGATTGTTAAAATCAACAAGTTGCCCGTGTGTGGTTATCTTGTATCATGGACATAAACTCCTTTTCGCTACTGTCACATGCAACAGGTAAGTTACGCGTTGAAAAACAGCTGCGTCATAGTTTCACACCGACCATTTGTTAAGCAACCGAACAAAGCATCAGAAATCGACGGCTCTATTTTCTCTATTTCGCTTCTGACAGCATCGTGATTTGCATGTGTACACTGGAAAGAGTTGTTTTTCTTCAGAGGTGACGCAAATGCTGTGCGCCGTCCTGGGTCAGTCCAGGAGTAGACGAGAATATTTGGTCAGGTAAAAAAAGTTTGATGCTTGGACACATAGAGCAACAATACACGCATTTATCGCTTTATTTTCACTATAAATAAATATGCGCACTTATAATTGCCATCTTTATCTTATGAACTTCTTGTTTGTTGTATTATCGACGTCAGACGTTGCAGACTGCGCATTAGGCTAATCTACTGTAGCTGTGGGCTAGACACTTCAGCAAGACTATAACACATGACAAATACAATACATTATAGCGACCTGCAAACTGGCAGTTTTTTGTTGTTGCAGAACTACATTCTCTTTGAAAATAGGTGGCAAATAAATCTGGAAAAATATGTGACTCGTGCAAAAGACATCTAAAGTGCTTTTGGTTTTGCTAGCATATGAAAGGACTACTGTAAAGTTCATATTTGCAGATCAAGTTGCAGCTGGGCAAAGCTACTGCATAATTGTAATATGTCATACGCTAAAGATCTAATGTTATTGATAGGAACTAATGTTATTGATAGCCTACTTCCTGTAACTAACCCCTGACGTTTATTTCCTCCTATTTAAAGAAGCTATTAGCTAAACTGACCAAGATACATAAATACATACATACATAGATGTGTGTGTGTGTGTATGTACACACACATAATATTTCTTCTTACATTTATTGTTTTTGACAAGCAAATTATGTGCCTTTTCTCGTGTTTTACATATGTTGATGCATCTGAACAGATTTTCTTCATAATGTATTTTCTACATTATGAACAATTGATCACATCTGTTCTTTTTGTGTCTTGTAATGCAGATATTTGTCATCCTCACGGGAATGGGGGACATGAAGACACCAGATTTTGATGACCTGCTGGCAGCGTTTGACATTCCAGACATTGACGCCAAAGAAGCAATTCAATCTGACACTGATGGTAATCATAATGAGCGCAGTGGTGTTGTTGAAAAGGAGAGAAGTGGAAGTCCATGCCTAAGACCTCCAGAAAGCCCTGAGCCTGTTCCTTTAGCTCCTCATAATGACCCCTCCATGGTCAGTGTGATTGTGAAAAACAGTGTACATTCTGATGACAAAAGTGAAGGAAATGTAACTGGGGACATTTCTGGTGCTGGTGCATCACATGAGTCTGCCCAGAAAGGTCCCAGCGAAGATGGCCTGGTGCCTCCAGATCCGTTCATCTATAATGGACTCGACACTGTTTCAGATGGGCCTACAGAACCCTCTCCACCACCAGCTCTAACTCAGATGCAGCCCAATGGGCAGCTTTGGTCTCTCTCCGCTCCTAGTGTTACTAGTCATGACAACCAGTATGGCACTTCTTCTAAACACCCTTCTAGCACTTTCTCCCCGCCTCCGTCTTTACCCCTGTCTGATCCCCCCATCTTATCTACACATTTAATTGGTCCAAACTTTTCTCCAAGAGTTGATTGTGAGGAAGTACAACCATTAAATGGCACTTTGAGGGCAGGAGTCCGCCGACGCTTATCTGAAGATGAAGAATCTGAACCAGACCTCGGTAGCCCTGCGCTTGTCACACAGGAAAGCCCGGATTCCCAGCTGTGCTCCACTCCCAAGGTACCACGCATGCAGCGGTCTCCTTCAAGTGTGTTTCAGCCATCCTCTCCCTCATCCCCTTCCTTACCAGTTAGTAACACTCAAATTGAGGAGCCATCTGTCCAGAATCCAACACTTCAGCAACGCACCAGCAGCATCAACCCAAAATCTCTGACCTCCACAAATGATCTGCCAGTTGAAGAAAAAGACGTGGAGCACATAATCGAGGAGAGAGATTCTCCTGAAAGCCCTGAGCCAGAAATCCCTCAACCCCATTCATCTCTGCCATCAAATCAACAAGAAACCAAAGAGCCAGAACAGAAGGTCAGAAGAGAAGAAGCCGCTCAAGATCAAGTTGTTGACGTGAGTGTGCAGGAGAAGAGTGGTCTTCAATTAAATACAGAGGATGGTGGAGCTGAGGAGACAGAAAGGAAATCCACCGAGCCTACTTTGGTAGATTCACCCTCTGAAGATGTCACCAAATCCAGCACGATCTCCTCCAAGCCTCTCAAAGTCAGAATCAAGACTGTCAAAACGACTGCTGGAAACACACGTACTGTATCTAAAGTGGCTCCCAAAGGAGGGAAGGGTCCTGG